TGGGAATGGCTTGGAGTTACTGATGGAATTCAGTGGGACGGTAACACACGCGATTGATCGCTAGATCGCAGAACCAGAACTAGAAACCAGTGACTTAAGAACAGCGTTGGCAATAAAAACAGAAAGGGAGATGAGAATTTATTCTTCAACCATCCTCTCACGCCACAGACTGTCAGGAGTGTCGGTAGGAGTGGGGCGACTCGGTACGGCAGTGTGGGTTTGTTACAACCTGAACTCTTACTTATTTGCTTTCCTGCGGCATAAAAATAATGAACTGTGAAAAAGACCAGAGCTGAAGACAAACGTGAAATCTGATCGCCTTTCAAAGGCATGTTTGCGCAGTTGAAGGGCTGCCTTCCTCCGCAGGGTGGCTTCTGTAAATCCTGGGCCAGGAGCCGCTTCCCTAGTAGCTGGGTAAGACTTGGGTATGACGGACGCATTCCCGCTGCATCGAAGCTGTTAATCCCTCTTTTGCAAGATGTGGGGCAAGAGTGTAAACACTGGTCTCACCTCCCAGGTGAGTGATCTGCTCAACTGGGCTAAATGATAGTCTGAATTGCGTTCAATTAATTAAATATTCATTAGGATAAATACCACAGTCCCAGGCTTCCTCTACTGCGATTAAGTAGGTGAACAATTGGATTATAGACTCAAATGCTGTCTCTGCTTTGCGAAGTATGTTTAATTTTCAACATCTCTTTTAGCCACTGAATCCGTTAAGTTGTGTTGATGAAAAACAATTTCTTGCCAAAGCGTTTTGCTGGATTAGACTGTAAAGACAAAAGAGGGTGTAGTTCACATCAGGCTTGTGTGGGTTGCAGCTTTAGTGGTGGGAAGGTGCTTAATAAAGGTTATTAGGAAGTTATTAAAGAAGAAAACAGAAGCAGGGAAGTCGGCTGGGAGTAGACAGAAGCTGGGGACTTGGTGCTGAATGGGGGTTGTCAGAAGTGCTGGGAAGAGTGTAGGAAGTTCCCAAAGCGTCGATTGGGTTTCCCTTTGAGCAGGTCGCTTATGTAAACCGAATAACGTAACAACACCTAACTCGCGTAGATGTTTTAGCTTCGCTCTAGAGTTTCTGGTTAATGGCAGCCTACAGCTGTAGTTTAAGCCTTTTGCTGCTGATAAGGCAAAGGGCTGTCTTTGAGCGATGTGTAATTTACTTCTGCAGGGCTTCTGTAGATTAACGGTAACGTCTGCATCTCCGATGATGCGCTGTTTATCGTTTACTCATACGGTTGGTGTGTGCTCTTGTGTTTATGTGCGTTTTTAATAAGCTGGAGGGAGGGAAGTTTTGAAACTGGTGTGTGCATGCAGTACACACGATGTGGTTTTTGTTGTTCAGGATGCAGTTTGTTGTGTGTGGTTTGCATGTATGAACCCTTTCACCGTGGTCATGAAAAAGTAAGGTAGGAAATGGCACAGGCATGATGTCTGCTGTGAGCGCAGAATCCCGAAAGCCGTTGTAGGAGTTGTCTGTCCGTGGGAGAAGTTTTGTGAGTAAGACCTTGTCACGGCTGTGCTCGGCTCTGTGAAGTGCCCTTGCCTCCCGTTGTGAAAATGGTGTCCCAGCTTGTAAGATTTGCCTGTATTGTTTGAAACAGCCTTCCAGTGTAGCCTGCCACTTCCAGGTTTCAGCTGCCAAGTGTAACTCATAAATTCTGATTAGATGACTGAATGGCTTGTCATTAACAAGACAGTGTGTTATGGGTAGAAGGTTTTGCTATCAGTGAAATTCTCACCTTGATCGCTGGTTTGTCTGAAGCTAAGGGAAACCTGTGGAACCAAAAGTGTACTGATTGTTTTTGCATGAAATTTGCACATGACGACTGGATAAATCTATCAAATGCCTATTTAAAAATCTTATTAAAAATGTTAAAGTCTAGGAAAAATAATTATGAAAGTGTTAGCATATACCTTTTGAAATTATCCATATAAACGTAAGCCCAGAGCGACTAGTCAGGTTGTTACAAATCCCAAACCCAGTCGTGCCCCTGCAATCCATCCCACCACTGGCCTCTCCCCGTTAAAATTCCACCCTCCCCTTCCTTCTCCCAGTTACAAAGTGTTGCATCTGCAGAGCATTGCAGGAGATGAGAGCGTGGCCTGTGCTGTCCCCCTTGGGAATGACGGAAACGTGGGAATAGCCCGAGGTTGCCTTCCATCGCAGTGAACCTCCTGCAGGACACTTGCGCTGCCGAGGGAGCAGCTCCAGAGCCTTGGGAAGGCAACTCCTTGTGCGGAGCCCGACTGCGTGTGGGTAGTTCAGGCCGGCACAGTCACGCATCTCTGGCTTCTCGGTTCCCTCCCAGCCTGTGCAAGTCCAGCCTGCTTGGCTGGTACGGGAGGAAGGACAGGCAAATCCGTATTTGTGATGGAGCAAGGGGGATACACCTGCATCAAAGTTCTTTGGAAATAAAAGAGTTTGGGTGTCTTAAAATAAGCATAATTTTATCCAGAGAAAACATTTTTGGGTTCTGTTATTCTGCATGTGACCACACTGTCCTTTTGAATATTATAAAAGTGTATTTCAACTTAAAATGCTCTAGTCTCCTCAGTTCTGAATGTGCTCCTCCGAGAACACCCAGGTAACCAGATAACATAATTTTGTGTGTTGTTCTCTCTCAACTGGACAGCGTGAGTTAGGTATTCCGCAGCCCATGGCAGCATGAAGGAGCTCAGGCAGGTTTGTCCAGCTTTCCACTAAATTGAAAATGTGCCTTTTAATTTCACAGACCATCTCATCTTGTTTTCATGTGCCATACGGTGGTGGTCAGCTCCGAATAAGACCAACTCCTGCTCTCCCATGGCACTCCTGGTGTAGCACCAGCACACTGCAGGGCGGACAGGGCCAGCGCTGCGAAGCTCGGAGCTGCCTCGCCTGGGTCGGAGGAGGCGCTGGGAGTCAGGGCCGTGCCTGTAGTCATTTCTTAAGGGCTTTATATTTGGTTCAAAATCTGCAGGTGTCAGTCATGTAGGAATGACTGATGCTAAACCATTTTTTTTTTGCTATTTGGATTCCTCATTCCTGGTGCTGTTCTGATTTACTCTTGGGAGATTTGGGAAACTGCATCAGTCTTCCAAAACTTCTGCAGCAGTTCACAGCCGGAGTGACTGACTTCAGAGCTGCTCTCACCCGGTTCCCAGTGTCTCGGGCTGAACTGCAGCAACACAGACTTCCCAAGCACTGCCCACACGGAAAGGAAAGGAATGATTTGTCATGGAAATGGCAAACTTGTACTGTGAGGAAGGATAGATAGTATGCCGTAAGCTAACAAGTTGCCTAATCCTTAGGTTAGATTCAGTGGAATTCTGCTGACTTGGGTAAAGAACTGGCTGTGGAACATCAGGCGGTGTGTTTGTTACAGCTGGTGCTGGTGGGAGGCAGTGCCTGCGGTTGCTTATGGACAGAGCTGAGGAAAAGTGAAAAAATCTAGTTGGAAACGAACAAAGCTGCTGCCCCCTGCGAATTTCTGTGATTTAGGTGTATTTAATTTTTCATTCAGGAACGTGCAAGTGTTGCGTGTGGGCATCTCTGCGTAGGTGTCTGTTACGGAGTTCTGTGACCGCTGTGCGAACCCGCTGCCGCTGCTTGGTGCGCAGGCTGGTGGCCTGAGGGGGTTTGCTGGCAGTTCCTCTGCCCCCTTCGTTTCCGTGTTTAAGCAAAATACAAGTTTTCTTCCCTTGGTGAAGCAAGAAGTGGTTCAGCTGGAGGTCCCTTTACGCTAGCTGGCCTTAGTACGTGATGGGAAAGACAGTAAGGAAAGGCCACGTCTGTGGAGCAGGAACATGCGATCCTTGAAGGCCCTAGTGCCGTAGCTCAGCTCTGCTTTGTGTCCCGCTCTGCGGGCACTTAGAGACGATCGGGGCTAATCCCCTCAGACCTGCAAAGAGGTGATCGAGGGAAAACAAACTCCACAAGCCAAGTCCGGACCGCGTCCTGCCGCACTGCGCGTGGCTCGATTCCTTCGGGGTGGAAAGGCCTTCAAACACGCTGGGGGGCTGCGGCCAGTGGGTCTCGTCCTGTTTATAGCCAACGACCGCGTTCAGATCGCTTTGGGAGCGCACCTGAGCCACAGCTCTACGCGTGAAAGCTTTTAAGGTGCAGTAATCGCTGAAACACTCCTTATTTTCTTCCTGCAGGGCACTGTTCGAAGAATTATTATCGAGAATCCTGATCAGGTAGGAAAACTGTTCTGTGCCGGAGTTCTGCTCGTGTAACTCTTCCTCCCTTCGTTACCCCGACTGAGTCAAGCGCTTGGCAGCCTCCATCGCGCTGTGAAGTCACGTGGCCCATACCTCTGGCTGTGGAATTCCTAGGGAGTGAACGTGCTGCAGAGGCGGCAGTCCGGCCTCCCCCCCGCTGCACTTACGTCCCCGTTAATGCGCCGGCGGAGGTGAACTGCTGGCTGTCCCTGCCGTGCTCATTTCAAACGTCGCCCGCACGGAAACAGTCATTGTCTTTCCAAATGGGCGTACGCTCAAGTGTGCCTGTCTTAAAGAACCATCTCGACCTGCATGAGCCTTCAGCTTACATTCTGTAGCCAAAATGACGCCGATTCTGAATTTGCTTTTTCACCACATTTACTAATGTTTTTATTAAAATGTTTTACAGGAGCCGTTATCCCCATTTCTTCGAGGGGGGAATTTCTGTCCTGGAAATAATGTCATCTACGAAAAGACAATAAGAAAATACGAGCTATTAAATCCCCTCCAAGTAAGTTGGTTGTTTATGTTACATGTTGCAAGAGTGAATGGAGACGGTAGCAGAGGAGTAGTGTTCCCGGGCTCTCGGTTAGCTGCGATATCCCTGCCCTGGAGTGGAAAGCAAAAAACTTTGAGCTACTGATGAATAATAGCTTCTTTCTTCCCACAGAATAATGAGGTGTATTCTCTGTGGGATGCAAAATATATATTTTTGAAGTAAACTTGTGACAGCCACAGTCTGGGAAATGGGTTTGCAGGACTTGGTAACATCCAGTGTTTTGAGTGGAACATAAACTAGTTTCTGGTTTACTGCTTTGGAGGGTGGTTTCGTAGGTAGCGCTTTTCTTGAGTGTACAAACGGGTTCCTTATATATTGTACTCTCTGAATCTGGGGTTGCTGACAGCACTTATAGAGGAAAATGTCTTGAGCCGTTTCCTGCACTGAATTTTTTTTGCAAACTGAACAAAACCTCAGTTCAGCTGGAACTGTTTTTGGTCTCTCAAATACTTAATGAACTGGGATATCCATGTGTTTAAACTTCAGTAACGGAGGTCCCCGTTGCCTGAGTACGTCAAGAGTAACAACACAGTGATGTGTAGAGCTGAGCTGGAAGGGTGTCTCTTCTGCAGCTAGTAAAATCTGGGGATTGCGGCCTTGAAGTGTGAGACCGTGAGGTAAACTCATGTTCAGTTACGAAAAGAAAGCAGTTTATTAGGATTATTAAAATACGTGAAACTGTCATCAGTCTTTCCATGCAAACCCTTATTTCATTCATTAGCATATTCCTATTAAGCTTCTACCTCATTAAGATGTGTCCAGCAGCTTACAAAAGCTCATTCCTCTTTCCAGGAGAAGCAGTATCAGTTTTCCCAGCAATGCCAGATCCCCCAACCAGCCGATCAGTGCCCCGTGGCCCAGCTCTGCCAGCGCTCCGAGCAGGCCCAAGTCACGCGCCAGTGCCAGCAGACACAGACCGGTAGCCCCTGTGAAACAATCCCAGTCTCTGTGAGCAACGACTGCAGAGGAAGCACTGTGAGGAGGGCAACCCTGCAAACCTGCGAACCGGTAGGAATCGCTTGCTCACTGTCTTACTACTCACAGCGTATTTTTGGTTTGTGTGCAGAGTGCAAAACTCCACAGGTACGTAAAGCTGCTCATCCCCCATCTCAGAAGTTATTTTCAAACTCTCAGAAGGGCGATTAAGCACCACACCCCCCTTGTAAGTGAAGAGCAGCTTGTGTGTCTGCTGCAGGTAACTTCCTTGTACGCTGCGATTGCAGACGTGGTCTAGGACTTTGCTGTCACGTGCTGGGGAAGGGCAGAAGCTGTTGTGGGTGTTGTATCCTATTGCTGGTGTAGACTTGCGCTTAATTGCACTGAAAGATCACCATTCTGTTGCCCTTTAAATGTGTTAAGCCCTGCTGGTTTGGCTGTTGTATTTCTTTTTTTTTGATCTGGGAGTGTTACCCATCGATTGAGTCAGGTTTCATCGGTCAGTCGTCGTACAGCCGTGACTGAGTAACGTAAGGCTTACGTCTCTAGTCTGGGAGAAGAGAGATGTTACTCTATAAACTGGGCATACCTTGACTTGGGATTGCTCGTTATCTACACTGATCAGTAGGGATTTGAAATGTAGGTCACTTTGACAGTATTTGACCTAGATCCACTGGAAGCACAAGCCTAGCTTCCTTCGCCCTCACGTTCTGGAGTTCCCAAGGGCTGCAGGAGGCTGGCAGCTTGTGGCTCTGTGGTACTTGGTTCCTTCCTGAGGCTAAACCAGACATGTACGTGTACACTGCTACTTCAGCTGTGGGCGGGAGTGTGGCCGTCCTGTGCACCTGTTCAGTATATAGGTGGTGAGGTAAACACACGTGGTGACCTCAGTGTTCGACCTGTGTGAAATCTTCCATAGCCAGACACTCCCATAAACCAGCTTAGGTAAACTCATTCTGGGTGCTGTTTACGTTCTTTGATCGGCATTTGAACTGTGGCAATACAAACACTGTTTTTGCGGTGGGGAATTGGGAAGAAATTCTTCCCGGAGAGGGTGGTGAGGCACTGGGACAGGTTGCCCAGAGAAGCTGTGGATGCCCCATCCCTGGAAGTGTCCAAGGCCAGGCTGGATGAGGCTTGGAGCAACCTGGTCTAGTGGAAGGTGTCCCTGCCCATGGCAGGGGGGGTGGAACTGGATGGGCTTTAAGGTCCCTCCCAACCCAAACCATTCTATGGTTCTGTGAATCCTGCACTCAGCTGGTTTATCTGGGTGCTGCCCACAGGCACTTTATCCACTACAGCTATGGAAACCTGTATACCAATGAAAGATTTCCTAATTCTCAACACTTTACATATTAGAATGATAATGGCGACGTTGCTGTAGAAGGTACTACTTTGCCCTTTTATTGTAACAGAAGTAGTTTATTTCTGTGTAGCTCACTGAAAGCAGAAGACATGGGAAACTCAGTACCAGGGAACAGGACAGTGTAAACAAACTGCAGAATACAAACACAAACCAGCCCACATCCACCGTCCTTGTCACGTTTTCCTGTTCAGCTCTCATCCCGAAGAAGGGAACTCAGTCACGACCTTCTTGCGTACCTTCTGCTAGGTGAACTGCTCTCAGGAAAACCGGGACCAGCTGGACTGCCGCTTCTTCGGTGAGCTCCTGGCTGAACTGAACCGCAAGACCAACGACTTGCACAGCTGCTTACTACAGCACGTGGAGAAGATAGGAGGAAGGTATTGGCATTGTCTCTGTTGTGTCATTTCTGTATTCCAGACATCCCACGCTGCGCAGTCCAGAGGACAGTGTTGCTGGCAAGTTGTTGTTTATGGGGTGGATGTGTTTTTCCTGCCAGCTAGGTTTGACTCTGTAATTTATACATTAATTGGCTGCGTAACTGAGGACATAAAAATGCTGTAAGCCAAGTAAATTGACTGAATTTGAACCAGCTAGGTTTGACTCTGTAATTTACGCGTTGATTGGCTGCGTAACTGAGGACATAGAAATGCTGTAAGACAAGTAAATTGACCAAATCTGATGCTTTTTCAAATTACCTAGACAATAGGAGTGGCCTATCTCACGCCTGTTGGCACCCAGAGCAAACAGGTACGCTTACAGCATGCTCCAACACACGTTTAATGATACAATTCTGCTGTTACGTGCTGAGGAAAGAAGCAACCCACATGTCCAATTCACCATTCCCTTTTCCTGTCGCGGTGCTGTGTCGTGGATGAAAAGGGCCTAACGCTCAGCATCTGCCCGCGGGTCAGTTAAGTGGGTATTCGCAGAGGCCCGCAGAAGAGAAATGCTGGATCACGGCAACCGGTAATCTGAGTCTTCGCAGTGTTCCTGCCCCTCCCTGCCCATCACCATTGCTTCCTGCTCCCCCCGCTCCCAGTTCACTGAAATAAGGAAAGTGGCCCCATAGCAAGGGGAAGGTGGAATTTCAGTGGCGCCACAGACTCTGACGCTGCTCAGTAAGCGCCTGAGGTATGTCAGGATGTTGGACCCCGTGGTTCTGGGTAAACTGTTACGCAGGCAGTCAGGAACGGGATGGGCTTAGCAGACATAGCTGGGATAACTGCCCGGAGAGGTGGAGATAGACAGCCCGCATTCACCGCGCTGCTGTCGGTGTTCAGTCCCCTTGGGTATGCCTGCCTGGAGTTTAACAGCTCCGGTTGCCCAGCGCCGCAGGAGGAGGGTAACGGTGCTTAATGATGAACCTTCCTTGCTCCCTTTTTCACAAACCGTCGTTTTGTCGTCGTGAGTGTGGGCATGAGGTTCTCGGCAAGCTTTCTGCTAATGGGTCCCTCGGATTTTGTCTGTGTTGCAGGAACCACGAGGCTGAACTGACGTGTCAGGTAAGCAAGTGCTGGGCATGCTCTCGGCGAGCGCTTTCTTCTGTGACATGCAGGGTTAAGAACAGTGGTGGGGATCTTCAAGCAGATTCAGCCAGGCCAGTTGAAATGGAGGATGCTGGTCTTTGGTAATGATTCCTGCTTGTTAGTAACATTCGGAGCCTGAAACCTACAGGCCTGTATTTGCAAATGTGATAGTATTGAAAGGAAATGTCAATAATTTGCATCATTCCCATATGAGAGTCAAATGTGGAAGTCTCTCCTGTTGTGCCAATAATGGTTTCATTGTAAAACAGCCAGAGACAGCCACGTGTTTTTTCACTATGTGTCTGCTGGAAAGGAGCTTTCGCTCCTGCCAGCGCAGCTGCTGTTAGCATGACTGTGTTCAGTGTGCTGCCTCTCTCAGGGCGGAGGGGGACGTAAGCCAGAACAGCCTCCCACCTGCAGGAAGCTCTCTTGAGCAAACCGGCCGCGGCAGACCCATCCCCATCCGTAGCCGTGCGTGTTCCAGAGGCACTGTGCATATGGCAGACAGGGTTGTCTAGGGTTACGTTACGTGAGGCAGCGCCACCTACTCACTGGCAGCAGCTCCTGCACACACTGGTCATCTTTTGTGTGCTGACAGCCCAGCCTTTGTCGAGGGTGAGTTCTGTTTGGTGTCAGCTGTTCTCTTCTCCAGAGAGGGTGGTTTTGAACGCTGCTTTTAAAATAAATGTTGGACTCGGTGATGGGAATGTTACGCTTCACGTATCACTTCATCTCAGTTTTTATACACCACACATACAGGACACTGGAAATTTTCTGGATACACTTTGATCTATTTTAATTCTTATTTGCCTTGTACTAAACATGTTTTTCATAGTAGAGCTGTGTAATTAATGAAGAAACCACATTATGAGCTACCAGGCAGAATTCTTAATCAAGACGTCTCCCCTTTCCTCCCTCCTTTGCTTAGACAGAAGATATTGAAGATTTAATCCCCAAAGGACTGTCTGAAGCAACAAAGCAGCAGATTCGTTATCTCCTCCAGGTATGTGAGTGGGGTGGAGGGGGGGTGTGGAAGCCTACAGCAGCTTGAAACCGTACAAGCAACTTACACATGCCAGGGATGTTGTACGTAACATACTCCGCTCTGTTCTACTCCTTGTGTTTGTTGTGTAAGGGGTATGGCTCACATGGGTGGCTCCAAGGACACGTCATGGCCGTGGGTTCCACAAGCTACTTGTGTATTTTGCCCTGAGACTTCCTGGTGCTTCCCTGCAGTTTCACTGGAAACCATCCTGTGTCTTGACCCGTCACAGGGGAATGCAGATCGCTCATCTGTTTGCGTTTCACGTTAATGTTTTACTTTAAGAGCTGAAGGCAGCTCTCAGGGGCTTCACTGAATGTCGAGTGGGCTGTCAGTGGCCGGCTGCACCCAGGGCCTCTCGCCTTGCACAAACGCTCTGGCTCAAACCTGCGCTGATCTCGGAGGCGTGCTTGTGCCGTCCCCTAACAAAACACTACCATTTCTGGTTTGGTTCTGTTTATAAACTGCTTTTGTGTTTCTTCTGAGCTTGCTCTTCAGCCGCCTGCCCATCCCAGCCCGCTTTTTCCAGCCCCCTGGGTTTGGCCGGAAGGCAGGTTCTGACAGCGGCGGCGCGGCGCTGCTGCCTGGCACTGCGGTGCTCTCCGCAGCGCGGTTTTTAGACAAACACTTGGCCTCTCTCCGAAGTGTCTGAAGACAGCGGATTGGAACCGGTCCCTGCAGCTGGTGAACCAGGAGACCCAGCGCTGTAGCACGACTCCACTGTCCTCCGCCCTCCCGCTGGGGACGAGTGTGCGTTAGAGCGGGATCCCAGCAGCCCGCTCCGCTCGGCGCGTGGGCCTGGGCCTGGTCTGCTGCGGTGGGGTGAGGCGATCCCACCTGGGAGCTGCAGCTTAGGACCCCTTCCTGGCCAGACATCCGTTTGAGTGAAGTTGTGGGTGAGCAGCCTTGTGGCTTCCCACCTGATCCTGCTGCAAGCAGGATTGCCAGGGTGCCCTCCCAAGTCCCTTCCAGCTCCCGGAGGTTCTACCATGCAGGTGACCTCCTGCGAGACACCGTCCCAGGCGCCGGGTTCAGCTCGCCTCTGCGTGGGAGAGCCAAAACGCTGTTTCCTGCAGGTCCAGCTGGTTTTACATTCTTGCACCTATGCTTAAAAAGTGCAGCTGAAATGCCTTTTGGGGAGGATTCACCCCTCGGGCCTCAGACAGCTGTGTGGTGGTTTACATGCCGGAAGGGTTCCGAGCTAGCTGTCAGGCTGCTGGCATAAAAGACTGCTGGGTGTGCCAGAGATGCACCTCTAGGAGCACAGAGAATGTCACTGCAGCAGTACGTACGCCTCTGGAATTCAGCAACCCTCAGGATGAAGTAGTAGCTGAGTGGGGATTTAAGTATATTTTTATAGCCTAAATTCAACTATTTTGACTTAATTCCTCCCTTTAATCTACTCTTGGATTTCACGGTCAACCCAACAAAACTGGGAGTCGCCACTGAAATTCCACCTTAATTAAAAACCCAAACAGACGAGTTACACCAGAAATGTTATTTTTGAAGCCTCAGTCACATAACACCACCAGAGGGTGGTATTGGTGGAGATCCTGTAGCTTCCCGCAGTCCGAGTGATCACGATAAAATTAAGGGGAAGTACCAGAGGAAGAGACAGGCAGGAGGATTTAATCTGTGTCCAGACGGTGCCAACTACCCCTTTGGTCCTGAATATTCAGCCCTTCCGGCCGAGTCAGAGGTTTGAGGCATCATTTTCTGTGTTCTTTCAGGTTTTTTTCTTGCAGCTACTGGAAACGTGCCATGAAAGGTGCGGAGCTGTGCGTTCACCCCAGTCGACACCCAGCTGTTGGCATCCCCCGAAAGAGAACGCCAGCAGGCGCGGGGCTGTTGGGCACTGCTGCCTTTCCTTTTCATCCAGTCACTCTGATCTTTGGGATCTCTCCCCTTTTAAGGGGAGGAGTTGGTTACATGACGCTTTTTTATTTACGTTTTAAAAAATCTGATTACCTTCTCTTGCCCTTGGGTGCCGGGTCCCAGAGCGACGGCTCACCCTGCTGTGGTTGCTGCCTTCGGTCAGTGCAGCTCCCAACGCTCAAGAAATGATGCGCAGCGTTAACACGTTCACTTTCCCATTACTGGCGTAGAGGGGCAGGGCTTCGCTCTCGTGCCCGCCGTTGAAAAGCGTTACCGCGTGCTCGAAGGCAGCTGCAGGACGAAGCGCGCGGAGGTGGGCTTGGCTGGCGGGTGAAGCGCAGTGGTTGGGAGAGCAAAGCCATTTTCGGCTGCGTAGCAGTTTTCTGGTCCAGCCACTGCCAAGCCTATGGCAGACCACAGCGACTTCCTCATCAGAAGCATGTCTTTGTGTTTCTCCCCTCCCAGATGAGAGCGACGTCAGATAAATCGTTGAGACTCGTGCTTTCCACTTTCAAAAACTTACGTGAAGAGCTCTGCCATTTGCAGGATGACCTGGGGGTAAGGCAGTGTTCGGTCCCACGGCCGCATCCGTTTGCTTTCACCTGTCGGTGGGAAGTCCGGTACGGTGAAACTGAAACTGAAGCCCAGGCTTTAGTTGCTTAATGGAAAGGGCTGGATTATTAATGGACTTGCACGACTCTAGTGGGTGGGTTACATTTCTTTCTAGCAGTGGTTTTCCGGTGCTGGGTTTGCTGAAGCCAAAAAATCCAGACACCGTCAAAGGAAGAAAAGACTCTGCTGAGTGAAATCAAAGCTGTGGATTGGTCTGTGCAATGCACACACCTACACTGGGGTGGGTGTAGGTAGGTCAAGGGGTGATGGCTTTAACCTGAAAGAGGGCAGATTTAGGTTATTATGAGGAAGAAATTCTTCCCGCAGAGGGTGGTGAGGCACTGGGACAGGTTGCCCAGAGAAGCTGTGGATGCCCCATCCCTGGAAGTGTCCAAGGCCAGGCTGGATGAGGCTTGGAGCAACCTGCTCTAGTGGAAGGTGTCCCTGCCCATGGCAGGGGGGTTGGAACTGGATGGGCTTTAAGGTCCTTCCCAACCCAAACCGTTCTGTGTCTGGAAGGGTGGTTTTACCCCCAGCACACCCCCAGCCTATGCCCCAAGGGCCTGTTCCCTGTCCAGGTACCGGGATCCCTCAGGTTTGTTTGCTCCTGCACAGTTGTGTTTCTGCCCCACGGGGAAGCTGCTGTCAGGTGGTGGCTTTACCAGCCCCATCGGTTCTCCAGCACATGCGCAGCCCAGTTTGGGAGCCACAGCTGTGCAGCTGCTGCTGGACAGTAGAGAGTCACTGCTGGGAAAGCAGAAACATCTCCCACAGCCCCAAGTCCTCAGCCCCACTGCAGACTGCACAGCAGTCGCTCGTAAAATGAAGAGCTGAGGGCAGGGAGTTCAGCTGCCATCTCTAACAGAGCAAGGAGTCGGTGCAGGGAGGGGGTCATAGTTTTGGGAGTTTTGTTGGTTTCTGTTTAGTAACTGCAGCGAATGCCCCCTGCGGTGGACTGGAAGAGCAGTGTCCAGGATCACAGTGCTTCCCACACAGTACTACGGTGATGGGCAGCTGTCTCCTATATAGTTAAAACCCCCCAATTTCAAGAAAACGGAGCGTTTGCTCAGTTCTAGAGCATCACTTACTCCATGTGTTGCACCCTGGCGTGGGAAAAGGCTGCTGCGACACTGCTGCTGCTGACCAGAACTGCTTTTGCCTTGCAGAAGTTGGAGATGGACAACGCCTTACTTCGGAAGGATCTGGCGTTTAAAGAGTCTCAAGTAAAAGAATATGAAACTCTGTTGATGTCCCTGAGAGAGAACAATCGTCAGCAGCAGGTAAATCTGAAACCCTCTTTACAGTCAGCCCCAAACTATCCAGGGTGCTGTTTGGACTGTTTGAGTCATCGCTGCCTGGTGCCTGTGGGAGAGTCTCTCATTCCCCTCCCCTGCTTTCCAGCAAGGACTCCGGGAGAGCACGGCAAAGTGCCGCTCTCTGGAAGAACAGCTCCTCTCCCTCCGGCTGGGCGAGGGAGAGAAGGACTGTCAGCTGAAGGAGCTGGAGTACTGCAAGCGTGCCTTGGAGCAAGAGATCCAGAGCCTTAAACTGCAGGTAACAGCTCGCTTGGTGCGAGTTCGGGAGCTGTTACGGGGATACGGATGGGATAAAACGTATGAAAATGAACAGTCAAAGCCCTGTTGTGAAGTGAAAAATGTCGCTTTCTGCAGAGCTGCTCTAATCCAGCACTGCAGACCACCACCGACGAGCTCTCCAGCCGCTACGTCGAGATGATCAACAGCCTGCGGGAGGATAAGGATCGTGAGATCCGCACCCTCAGGGTAAGCTGAGCGTGGCACACGAGTCCTCACCGAGCACGAGTGCAGGCAGCCAGGTGCTCTGCAGTTAAGGCACCCGAAAGCCCTCCCGCACGTGCCTCTTTGTTCTGCAGCTGCTTACACAGACACTACCGATAGCTCAGAAACCCTCGTGCTAGAACATAAAACAGTGATTTAAAAATTACTGTTCCTTAGGTGTAGAAATTAGGGATTAATCAGAACAGCAGCCTTTCCTAAGGGGGTATTTTGTCTGTCCTGATGTAAGAAACTGGCCAAAAGGCACCCAACAGAAAAGAAATCCCAGTCAAAGCTGTGTGGAGGAAACATTTCTCATTTAAATCACTGCGGGACCATTTACCCCCCTGGAAGGCAGGTACAAACCTGTTACGTTGACACCAGCCCAATTCAGTCCAATCAGCACGTTCTGAATTTACTGTGCAGCTCAGCGTTCTTCCTTGAGGATCAGTGGGTCTTACACTTCATGATTTCAGTGAAAAAATACATCCAGGGTCCCAGATCCCTCCTGACAGGTCACCTGGGAGCAGCACCAGGCACCGAATTATTCCTTAAAAACATTGTTTTGCAGAACCAGCTGTGCCAGTTCCAGCAAGACATGTCAAGGAGAGAAGGAAGCAACAGTGACTTGCAAATGAGGCTGCATGAACTGACATCGATGCTGGAGGAGAAAGATGCTTTTATTAAACAGCAGCAAGAGGTGAAACAATACAGCTCGTTTATCTCCTGGGAGTATTTGTGTTTAGGCCTCCGCGTACTGGGTGGGTGGAAGCGCACCCGGGAGTCTCCTGTGCCCTCCTGGTTCAGGGATGGGGGTTGGGATTTAACCCAGTGCTCTGCCGGTCTTGGGAAAGGACAGACTTTCGGAGGCTGCTGGGAGGAAATTTCTGCCAACGCTTTGTTGTGATGGGGTGAACTAACACTTCAGAAACCACGGTTTCATTTTGGTGTTTGCTCTTGGTTTCCTCAGGACCTCTTCAGACTGCAGCAGGAGAAGTTATCAGGCAGCCAGTCCCCTGGTGTGACAGCCATCATCACAAAGAAGTAACGTAGTTATTCACCTGTCTTAACACCCTGCCTCCTCCTGCTGTCCCCTGTGAGCCCCTGCTCACCGCGTCACTCCTGCAAACCCCTCGCGGTGTCCCGCTTCAAGGGGGAAATGACGAGCTGGGAAAACCTCTCCGGGGAGGATTCAGTACTAGGCACTGGAAAAGCGAGGGGGTGGCCAGCATGCTGAAGTGCTGTTAAATGACTGGTTTAGCTTTTCAGTTACTGGTGAAAATCCTGGGGGAGTAACAACTGAAGGGATTATGGGGCAAGGCCGGGGCCAGGGACTCGGATGCAGGCATGCAGGATTTCCGTTACAGGGTTGCAACTCTCTCTACTACAGGTACAGGAATCAGTATCCTATTCTGGGCCTCTTGTCTGACGACTACAAGGTTACGTCACCAGTCAGTAAATCACAGACGATTGTAATTGAGAGGACGGGAGAGCTATGGAAACATGTAAGTTTACCTGGAGTGACCACACTGTCCCTGAAATTCCTGAGTGTTCCACTGCAACGAAAGCACTAGCCAGAAGTGACACCTGAGCCAAAGCCACAGCAGTCGTTTAGCGAGTGGCATGAAGCACGGTGACCGATTTAAGTCAGGGAGCTGCACCGCCGTGCGGCGCGTGGGCAGAGTAACCTCGCACTGCGCCGCTGCCACAGCTTCCCGAGAGCAGCAGCACTGCTCTAGCACCGATGGGGCAGCGTGTCCCGGCAGCAGGGGGTTAGGCAGCAGCGCTGGCTGGGCCGTGCTCTCGGGTGACAGAGCGGTTGGGTGGGCAGCGTTCCCCTGAGCCAGGAGTGTTACTGACGCCAGGCATCACCGAACCATACCCAGCCCTTGCCCCTGAGGCTCAGGCTGAGACAGGGCAGTGACTAATCCGGGAGCTGCAGGAGGGGTGACCTTCACGGGAGTGGTTCCGAGTGAAGACGGGAGCGTGGAAGCTTGCTGCGTTACAGGGCCCAGTCGTGCTGCCAGCCCGAGTGCAAGGGGAGGGCGCGAAGGATCGGCACGGCCAGCTCCCCCCACCTATCTCAGCCACGGAATCCGGTGAGGTGCCTGCAGAGAGAGGGGCAGAGCACAAACAGGGACTGAGAGAGTAGCTCTGGGGGGACATGGCCAAGACAGACAAGTGCATGAGCAGCCTGAGTAGAGGCAGGGTAGAACATCCGGCGTGTTCTGAAAGGATGTTCCCTGGAGTAGGATTGAGAACATAAAAGGGAGAGGTCAGGGACCTCTGGAACTCATCCAGTCACACTGCAACCCAGCGAAGGGTCAAGGAATTAAAGAGTGGTGAGGAAATGACAAAAGTGAAGCCAACCCCCTCTCCCTCCTGGCTTAGGTGAAAGCTCAGTCACACTTTCCACTGTAAAACCTGGAGAAGATGAGCGCACTCAGCCTTTGAAAAGACCTGGATGGTCAAATACACGAGAACTGTTTGTATGTTCAGTTTCCCAAGATCTCTGTCAGGCACTAGTGCAAGTTTCAGCTGAAACAGCGTTACTGTGCTGCCAGGTCAACCCGACAAATCCAGCTGAGAAGGGTCCGGTGTCACTCCCAGCTCCTGTGCTCGTGTATCTGCATCCATACTGAACGGTGCTGCGGGCACTGACACCACCCATTACCCTGCTCAGTCCTCTGAGGGACTGAAATGGAAGAACTTGAGTGTTCTTTGTGCCCTTGTTACATCAGAGAAACCTTGGAAGGTAGAAATTCTGGGATGCCAGCTCTCGCCCTCTCGGGCAGTGGGCGCAGTGTGCAGTGCCCATCTCAACACCCGCCCCGTGCTACCGAAGCCGCTTATGGCGGTGCCGGGACTGGCTGCCCGAGGAGGGTTGTCTCGGCAGCCACCTGGGACACGGGGACACGGGGGAAGTCGTGCTGTTAGCGGGGTTCGGCACACAACAGGCTTGTGTGTTCCCCTCTAACCAGCTGCTGGTTCCTTTCAGGAATGAAAGAAATGGCACAGCCGCCAGAGCTGCGCAAGGAGCTGGCACTGCTGCGACTGCTTCGCTTTCTGCTACTCTGCATCAGGAAAGGGGTCAGTGAGACAGGCGGGGGGACACGGGAAGGACACGGAAGCGCCAAGGTGACATAACACCGTCTCCTCCTCACCCTAAAGATCTGGGTTACTCGTGTCCGTAACCTGCCACTCCCACACGCGGGTGTGCGACGCTGCTCGTACGTTTTCGCGCCCTCACCTTCGGCTCAGAGCGCGCAGGCGCCACGCTTCTGTGGACTCGGCCTTTCTCGACCTGACGAATCCTGTTGTTCAGCTGGTCCTGGAGCAGTCTAAGAGACAGGAGGAGGAAGCCTGACACCTCTCCCTCTGTACTACTAGCCGCATTCTGCTGTCCCACCTACCCACACCGAGAAGTGACAAAACAGACTTGAGCCCATCCATCGGGGGGGGCTGGTTTCACCACAGCCTGCCCTTTCACCCACTGCTGCCCACTGAAGCAAAACCCCAAAACAGCCTCCGTGGGGAACCGTCCAAACAGCTCACCAACAACCCCCTGCCAAGCGTGGGGAGCTGCAGTGGCAGGGCAGCCTGCTTACCTCGCTCCCGTTCAGCTGGCAAGTACCAGTTTCCTGCTTCAGCGCAGTGACGGGGCAGATGCTAATTTTACAGTCACTGGCCTCAGAGTTGATGCGTTTTCAGCTGAACCTTTGTGAGCCCCCAGACTCTGCCTGAACATGTCAGCAACTTGGCGTGTACAGAAAACCTCAGGATGACAGCAGCTCACAGACCAAGTTTCATGATCAGACCAACCTTCCACTCCCAGTTCCTGCTTCTCACAGGACCACAGAAATCCCCTCAAAATGATTCAGAACTGATAATTAAGTCGTTGTCTAAGCAGACTGCACAGGCTCATGGCAGTTTTACACAATGCAATCAAAGGTGTTAGCTCGTTATCCCGGGGCTCTTGCTTTGCTTCCCTTCCCTTCCCCTCCCGCAGACACGTACACCACAGACCAACGCTGTAGGTCGCATGCAACTCTGAAATAAAGCCAGGTGTAACTTCTCTGAATCCCGTCTGTCTGTCCTGGAGACACCTCCTGGCTACCCGGCGGGGGTGGGCTGCGGCGGTGTGATACCCCCTGGTCCTTCCGCAGATGATGTCTGGATGAGAGTGCCTGGCCCCGCTGCGGTCCGTGTTCACTGGACTGCAAACTAACCCCTCCCTGCGGTACAGCAGTCGGCTACGCGCACACACGCAGCTGAGGTGCGAACGGCACAGAACCCTGCCGCCGTGTTCTGTCCCAGTAAGGAAGTCTGGTTACAGCGTCACCCCACAGCTTTTCACCTTGGGTGACCCGGGTCATAGCAAGAAACAGAACGGGGAGAGCAGGTTGGTTCGATGCCACCCTACTGCTACCTGTGGGTACCTGCAGTCACCCCGGCGAAGGGGAGACAGAGGAAGTAGCTGACTTCCTGTGGGCCCTGCCGTGACCTGGGCCTGACGAGCCGGAAGCATTACAAGCAGCCGAAGCAGGTGTGAACGGCAGGCACACCGGCTGTTCACAGACACACTCTGCACTCGGGGGCACGGGCCGTACAGGGCATTTACCGCCACCCGGGAGCACGAACCGATGGTTCTCTAACTCCCTGCGACTCCAGAGCTGGCGCAGCATCGTGCCAGCAGTGAGCGCCCTGGAAGGGCAGAAACGCAGGCTCTGAACAGTCAGAGCTGTGGGCGCGGTGTGATGCCATGAGAAAGGTCATCATTAGGCAAATGAACAGTTGTGCATACACAGCTGGCATCACCATACACTGAAACACCGTGACTCTTCCCTGTACTTGAAGGGACAGGTAACTACAAGCAGCCTCGTGTGCTGATCAGGAGAACCAGGTGTCAGCAGCGTGGGGGGTAGCACAGATCACCTCTAAGGCCTGGTGGAGCGTTTGAAGACTTCCACACGCTGTAAATACACTCACAGGCAGCATGAGCAATAGGAAGCTCAACTGGCCTACAAGAGGCACAGTGGCCATTCGGGGCTGGTTTTGTTTCCTGTCCAGGTTACTGAAAAAGCAAATACTGTATTTTTTATAAGACAGAGTCTCAGCTATTGCCTGGTTTCTGTTGAACTGAAACTGAGTTACCCCACACCATTTCTGCTGGAGTCTACAGGAACACGTTTTTCTCATTTACTCTTCTCTGCAAATGCTAGTTACACCCCAATCACAAGCAGTGCACTGCAGGGAATTTTCACCTCAGTTCCAGAGACCCTACACTGTTTTCAGGAACAAATCAGAAAAATCCAAGACAGCGTTTGCCTCATGTATGTACAGCGGTACCTGTATCCGACTGTCTTTATCAGCAGAGCCTCACTGCCTCAACAGATCTGACGGCACGCTCGCTCTCCTTACGCTGAAGCGCAGAACACTGGCTTCTGGTTTCCATTACTGACTTCTCCACACAACTCCGTACGGAACAGGTTATTAAGAACCAGCCAGAGCCAGGGCTCGGCAGCTACTGACGGCTCCGGCATTCTGCCTGAACACTCCATCCAGGTTCCTCACCTCTGCCTTGGGAGCGCTCTGCTGGTGTTTTCCGTATGGTCTCTCTCCGTTTCGTTCCCTCTACCTGTGGGCATTTGAAACCTGGAGAAAGAAAAATACAAACGATGACTAAGACATGAGTAATTTTTAACTGCTCCTGGCTTTTAGTTCTTAGTCTGTCATTTCAAATGAAAATCTGCAGTTGTCAACTCTGACGTTCTGGGGCAGCCCTTCCTCACGTCTGAGATTCACTGCTTGCTCAAGCCACCGTGATGTGTCTGTGCATCACGTACAGCACCTCCGGAGTCGTCCCGAGGGTGAGGAACAGCTGAACTTCCCCAGTGCCGCACTCCCAGGCAGCCAACAGCTTTACAGCCCACGTCTCTCCCCTGCTCCTGGAACTGTGTGTGGGGTGTCCTGCCTCCTGTCACAGCCGTCGGGACAGGTAACTCACCCTTGCAGCGCTGCTGCGGGGACAGAGTCGGAACAACCTGGCAAGGACGGACCGTGTCCAACAGAACAGCGTCAGAGCCTGCGCTGCAAAGCGGCAAAGTCACAACATCCATCAACCTCCCTGCAGCAAACATGAATGCAGGAAAGGGGACGGCTACTGAAGAGAGCCTGTAGAGCAGAGACCACGCAGCTTCCCAGCCGTGGGAGGTGCCATTCAGCGTTCCCAGGACAAGTCATAAAACATGACACCACCACTAGTTATCATTCACCACTTGAGCCCTGCAGGGCTTACGGGAGGTGGCAGTGCCTCCCGTCACTTGCTTCCTGCCACGGCTTGGGAACTCATCCAGCTGCCTGGACAGCACTCCGCCCCTTCCTGAAGGCCTCAGCAGTTTGGGGACCAGAGGGCAGCCTGCTGCCAGCTCCGGGGAGCCAAGCAGGGCGGGAGCACAGACCACCCAGCACAGGGATCTGGGAAAGTACTGGGATACAAGGATTTGACATGGCATTTTAAGAATGACACCTCCGTAGTCACAACACAACAGCCACCACAGATTCTCTGAAGCATTTATGGAGAAAAAAAATTTCTGAAAAGAAATCTAGGAGCTTTGTCTCAAACTACTGAGGATTCAGGTGAAACTGTCTTCTTGCACTTAGAATCATAGAATCACTAGGTTGGAAAAGACCTTAGAGATCATCCAGTCCAACTGTATCTGTCCACCACTAAATCATATCTCTCAGCACCTCATCCACCCGTCTCTTAAACACATCCAGGGATGGTGACTCCACCACCTCCCTGGGCAGCCTGTTCCAGTGTGTGATAACCCTTTCGGTGAAGAACTTCTTCCTTACGTCCAATCTAAACCTCCCCTGGCGCAGCTTGAGACCATTCCCCCTCGTCCGATCATCTGTCATTAGGGAGAAGAGACCAACACCCACTTCTCCACAACCTCCTTTCAGGGAGCTGTAGGCAGTGATCAGGTCTCCTCTCAGCCTCCTCTTCTCAAGGCTAAACAAGCCCAGTTCCCTCCGTCGCTCAAGAAGATGTGAAATGCCACTTGCTAGTAAAATCTTATGCCAAGGATACCAACCGCTTGCCTGAACACAGAATTTCAGTTACAGAAGAAACATGGTTGTAGGGAAGAAAAAAAGAAGGGAAAAAAGTTTCTGCCCAAGTGTTCCATTCTGCTGGATGAGTACATACACCAGATACATGCAGAGACCCTAAATTACCCCAACAACACATGCACAGTAAGGGCACTGCAGATAATACCACTTCCTCTCAGGTTTCTTCTTGTCCAGCCAGCACATTCCTTTGTTTTCTCTTCCCTCACCCCAACTTCCGCGTCCACGCCTGCAGCACACTGCCTTTCTCCTGTCGAGTCCATCCATGGCAGCACCCCTTGTTTTCTTAAGCCACCAGGCCCCCCCCCAACAGCTTCAACCCCTCCTTTGCCCACTCAGCACCCCACCTGGACAGACAGGAGCGGCTCCCACATCCGCAGCTACAGACACCTCAGTTCTGGAAGGAGGAGCAGAAGTGCCGGTGGGAATTTCAGACGCCAGGACAGTGCTAAGTCCAGCCTTGAGCCATCGACCTCTAAGCAGCACAGGACAGACCCAACAAAGTAGAAGCACACACTCTCCCAGCGATGCAGTAAGCTGCTGCCTTTTAACCCTCTTCTCAAGCAAAAAGTCTGGCAAAGTGATTTATCTGTGAACTGTCACACCCCACAGGTAGCATCCACTCACCCCAGCACTGTGTGGGTTAAGTAAGTCTCGAGGCTTTTCCTCTCCCTGGCAGACCTCGTCTCCAGTCTTTCTTCGCTGGGTTTCACGGGCTGTACGCTGCCGAGAGGAGAGGAGACAAACAATTAATGTAACGAAATGTTCGAACTGCTGATGCCACGAGCCAACCAGAGAACCATGGGAACTCATCCTGAGACCTGACGTTGGAGAAGGCTCCCGCTGAGCCTGCCAGCTCCGCGCCTCCGCCAGCCCTCGCAGAAAGCGGGGCTCCTGCACGAAGACTGCACTGCTCAGCGCCTGCTTCAAGACCCACAGCCCTTCCCCCGTCTGCAGCTAATAATGACCGACTACAGCTGTGGTTTTTACACCCCCTATTCCCCCCCTTCACACCT